TTGATTAACAACTGACAACACTTGCGTCATAATAGATAAATCCAATTTTTTAAGATGAATTTTAACTAAGATGAAGCTTGAAATTTTTTTCTACAATGGACTAAAATACTTTTTTTTCTTCTAACTTGATTGTCTTTAAAATATTTTAAAAGTATTCGAAGCATTCTAATTTATCTGTTGTCGTTTAAACGAGCTTATTTCCAGGTTGTCACTCTTAAATTTAATTTTACTTTTCTCGATTAAAACTTTTAAATTTAATTGATATTTTCACTCATCCGCAAAATCTGTAAAACTATTTTTACGATATTTGCTAAAGTAATATCCAGTTATATATTTAATTAGAGCTTTAAATAATTAATAATAGCCGCAACAAACTTTAATTAGCATTTTTAATCCCGATAAAATTTACTACAAATCGTTAGGTTTTGTACATAATACATTATTTAAACTGTATACCAGATAATGAGCCAGATCGTAAGATTTAATGATGATCATTTCTTAATTTATCGCTATTAACTTTAAGACCCATTTAAGTTTCAACAAATTAAATCGAAAAGTAAAATTTTCTTAGCGATCGTTGTAAACACGACAATAATTTTGATCTAAGAGTACGCTTGTATTTTAAAAGCGTACAATATTCGATTTATATACTATTATCAGGGTATACAATATTATCAGTAGCGTACATAAAATACATTCTTCTTCACATAAGGGCCGAATCTACACCTGAAAGATGATTGCATAGGACCGAACTTATGAATTTAAATGACACTTTTCATCGATTTTAAAGTCAGCAAGTATTCTTCCAATGTACTCATTATTTATCGATCGAAACTTAACAAAAGTTGAGAAAGATATCAAAGATGATCCCGCGTGTATATGTAGAGAAATTGCGAAGGAAATCACATACTTCTATCTGGTCGTAATACTCTATTTTCGGTGCTTTACCGATAATTGAACGAGCCTTATATAAGTATGTTGTAGCTTTCAAAATAACATAACCAAGACGCTCTACTTCCAGCCACCTGTTCCTACAACCTTCATAAAGCTGGTCAATGTTGAATATTAATCTCTCTCCAGATAATAGAAGCTCCTTCTCAACTTTACAAGAAATCGATATTCATTAACTCTTATGTTTTTCACCACCATAACAGCTCACATAAATACGCTCCTTAGCTCCGTGCGACATATTAATTACAAACAATACTACAAAGAGAGATAACTTCAAAAACTCCATTTTTCCCCATTCTCTCGGATATAAATTACAATTTTTTGTTAATATTTATTTTTAATATATTAAATAACGATTTTGCTGTTAATTTTCTTTCATTGTTTAATTTAGTTTTCTTTAAAAAAGTATATATAGCTAATAATAGCTACAAGATTATTGTTTAATTATTTGTTTTTTTTTCTTGTAAAGAATTTACTTCATTAATTAAAATATAATTAATGAGAATATGAGGAATAAAATAATTAAAATTTAATGATTGTTTTTTTAAGATTTAATATTTAAAAAGTTTTTAAAACTTGTTAAAATTCAAGTGGAAATTCTCATTTATTAAAAAAATTTAATAAATTTTATTTATTCAAAACGTTATTTTTAATTCGCTCCATTCTTATATTTTAACAGATTTTATGCTTTAATACCATAATCCGCTTAAGACGATAATAGTTAATTACAGTCTATTTCCCTTTTATAATCCAGATAATCTTATCGGATTTGTAAAGAATAATCTCATACAAAATACCATGCATATTAAAAAGATTTGCATGGAAAATAAACAGCAATTAGATTTACAAGCTGAAACTTTATATAATAAACTTTTATAACTATACAAACGGCAATTAATAGAGAGAAATATGCAAGGAAAGATTATATTCATTATCTAAAAATTTGCTAGAGGTAATCAAGCATTTTAGCTAGACGAGTAAATTTACGAAAGTTTATGTAGATACCTTTATAACGAACTTTATATCGTTAATTTATAAATTTTTATAATAAAAAGCGTTTATCAGAAGTAATTTAAACATAAAACTTCGTAATTGAGATGCATTTTGAAGTAACTTTAATGTTTAGTTAACAATGGAAAAATTCTATACTTCTTTTAAGGACCTATAAATGGCAGCTGTCCTCCTAAAACAAATTCGATCAAAGTTTATTCAATCAACATCAATATCAACTGTTGTTTTTGATATTTACCATCCTGTTCTTTCTATTAACAACAATCCTCGAAGCATTAATTTGTATTAAGTACAATGGATCACTGTATAACTTATGGCTAATTTAATTTGATTGGATTCCTTCTCTATCTGGAAACCATTACTCGAACCTATAGCTGCCATTGTTAATTCAATCTAACTATCATTTAAATGATCATTACTTGCTGTAACGTTATCGAATTGACAGTTATTACCTTTACAGCTATAAGTAGAGCGATCCTTTATTTTGCTCTATTATATTTCGAAGAGATAAGCTTCTTTGTGTAAGTGTAAGTTTATACGGAATCTATATATTTTATATTTCGTACATTAAATTACTTAACCATTTCGGTATAGACATTTAATTTCATTACACGATATAATTATACGATGCAATTTAGTAGCGAATTTGCAGATATTGTTGCAATATTGATCTATTTCTATGAGACAATATTGAGAAACAAAGCCAGATAAAACAGTTTACGATAAGGAAACGATTGTCAACTTTGATCCTCTATGGATTTAAAAATAAAAATTATAACGTTAAATAAATATTATAATTTTACAAAATATATTTACCTAAAAAACTTGATTGTCTCATCATTTAATTTATTATTGTTTTACTCATAAAGTTCTGCACAATCACAGTTATTGTGATTCTCGACCCATTATAAACTAAATTAGGTTCGAAAGTCAATAGAAAACACGCTATTAGTATTCAGTGTGTTCAATAGATGGCATGATCTGCATTTAAATCTGTTAATTTAGCAACACCAGTTAATATATTTTCGGTGTTAATAAAGTAATAATTATTTTTATAATTTACACAGTGACTTTTTCGAATTTGTAACATCTCCTAGAATAAATTACGGTGATTAATACGCTCATCAGTAGAATCGCTTGTTATTTGCAGTTTAATAATAATAAAGTTTTAGCGGGTTAAACGACCAGAAAAATAAATATAGATAAGAGAGTATGTGATGTGAATGCCCATATCGTTCGGACATATTCATATATAACGTCCATCAAAACGAGTATTTTCGTGAAGAAATGGGACACAAAGTCGCCAAAACAGTTTACCATTCTTTCTGTTACACAAAGGAACTATTTTTAGATGTAAATGAGATATTTGGAAGATCGTCGACTACAGGTTTTCACGTACAGTACAGCTCGTGACTGACTAGGAAAAGAAAACAGCAAATTCTTGTCATAGAAGAGAGGAGAAAAAACAATTTAAATTTATACATTTTTATATTTTGTTAGAGCATTATTGCTATGACATTTTTATGTCTTTTCTTTGTAAATAAATTTAAGAATAACTGAAGTAAGAAATTTAAACGTAGCTCATTAGCAATTTCAAAATAAGCCTATAAATACAGCTGGAATAGTTAATTAGTTTTGGTTTTTATTTAAAGTATAGAAGTGAAATCCACTTCTGAGAATTTACTTTTCTTTGTAGCAACATCGCTTCCAGATTTTCTTTCGAATTTATCTGATGCAACTCTTGTCGTCCTCTAATCCGATAGAAAGCACTCAAACGTATCGTCAGTATATTTTCCCCCCTCCTTCGCTACATTTTTTTCTCTTCTTTTTTTTATCAAGCATAAGAATTACGGGCATCTATCTTTGTTTTAATTTGCAGTTGAAAAAAGTTCGAGGAATATAATATAATCTTAGGAGTTTGCATTTATTATCTAGTGGTAAAATCGAATGAGTGCTCCCTCTTTCTTCTCTCCATTAGATGTAAGGGGAGGAAGAATTGTCGGATCGACACGAACTCCTCATGAAAATTGTCGATAAAGTCGTTTCCATCGAGTACAATATCGCTATGTCATTAAGAATTTCATAAGTTATCTTTTCTTAATTGGCGATTTTAAACACAAAATTTCGATTTATACTAAGGAGGAGTGCAAATGATGATCTTAGATTTTGACGAATAAATATATAATGAAAATACCTTAAATTTTATTCATTCTAAAATTACAATAAAAATTGCTTAATAAAATTATAAAATATTAAATTATTTATAAGTAATAATTGAGTTTATTCATGAATTTAACATTTAAAATTTATGCCTTCAGCATGGTAAGATTTTTAATTAATAGTTACTGAATGGAAAATGAATGTCTAAACTTTTAGAACAGTTAATTTTTTAAAAAAACCTAAATTATTTAGAAGAAATTGTAATATTAAATTAGCAATTTTTACGTAAATCNTAAATATTTAAAAAGTTTTTTGGGACACTTTTAAACATTTTGAATTAAATTCTCTTATTCAGTGGATTTTTATACTGATGTTAAATAAATGGACTGATGCCAGAAAAGCAACCAGTCAGATAAAAAAAAGTGAAATTATTAATGTCAACACGAGACCGTCATGCAAAGACGATTATAAGATTATAAAGGAAAATAAACCGAAAAGCAAAAATTCTAGAAGAAAGAATAGAAAAAAAATAACTATAACTAAATAAAAAATAATAACACATTTAAGATTTTCCTAACAACATTTGTATTATAATTCATCTTTCTAAACTAGAAAACAAACCGTATTTACTTATATTGAAATATAAATAAACAACAATTAATCATGTAAGTAGTCAGATAAAAATAAAATTCAATAAAATAGACATTTACAACGGAGTAAATTATTAAAATTACTTAAGAAACTTATATTTTTATTTTCTACTTTATCTTGTAAACTTATATCGAAAATAGTTAGAAAAGTTTTAAATGGTTTATAGTTAGTTTTTATGAGTTAACTGATGATTATGTGTCAAACAATAACCGTTCTTTCTATTGCAGTGTACAGATGGAACATCAATTCTACTACATTCTGAAAGTCACATATACACCAATATCAGTCTTCTAGATACAGAAGTTTATTGGAAATTAGCCCGGAAGTGAGGGCAATCTAACAGGAAAGTTCCTTTTCCCTTGCGTGTTAGAAGCGGAACTTAAAGCTCCCAAGAGTGTCAGATCTAGGAAATCGGTCGGGTAGTAAAATTAAAGAAGGAATCTACGACACCCGAAGTAGCTCAATGTTTCTAATCGAGACGTCTCCGGATTAAAGCTCGGACATCGTATGGATCTTCAAAATTACTTGGGAATGTTTGATGTTTTCTCAATAAAGATGTTATGAACATTTAAAGAATTTTTACATTAATCAGAAAATGCTATCCAATAATCACTTATGGCTCTTAATCATTTTCCAGAATAGTGCAATTCAAAAATGAACTTGATGGAAACTTTAATTTCAGAAAAAAGTCTGCAGTCAATAAAATTCGACTACGCCAAACACCTCTCTAAAAAGTGGAGCGGCTGCTTATTGGCTGCTAATTCGTTACGCATACATAAAAATGAAGATCGTCGTTCATCCGTAGTTTCAAACGCTACAGATGAAATGAAATCATGCAGATATCTGCGAGTTTTTCGTATGATGAATTCCTTACATATTTCATTTATGTCAACAGCCATATTGATTTCCACGTGTTGGCTGTTGAACTCGCCCATTGCATCGTGTACAAAAGTTACCTGTTCCAGCTCATGTTATTGCGATTCGACAGGTGAATTTGTTAGCTGTATAGGAGATGGAATGTTCAAATCATTACCTAAAGTGCCCAGAACTGCTATCAGATTAGAACTGAGGAACTATATCATTCCTAGTTTGTCGGCCGAACAGTTATACGGTTTAGTAAAATTACACGAACTGAAACTTCAACAAACGCAGACGAAATTAATAGAAAATGGTACTTTTTCCGATCTTCAAAATCTTCGTCGGCTAGAATTATGCCAGAATTTTCTCGAAAATATCACAAATTCAACTTTCGACGGTTTACAGAAATTACGTTATCTAGATTTATCTTCTAATTGTTTGGTGAATGTAGACGAGTCTTTTTTGCAATTATCGAGTGTCGAACAGTTAAATCTTCGCCTCAATAACATTTCTCAGGTGAGTGCAAAGAGTTTCTCCGGGCTCATTAAAGTTCAGTACCTCAACCTTGATTCAAATCAGATTTCGTATATCGAAGTCGGTTCTTTTCAATATTTGACCAATCTTGCTCATCTGATACTCAGTAATAATCCTCTAACAACTTTATCGCGCCTTGATTTCTTTGGATCTAGACTACAATACATTGACATATCTCATATGGGTTTGGAGCGTATACCGCAGAGTCTCACCAAATTTGTTCGAGATCTGCGTCTTGCCAAAAATAATCTTACTCGTATTAGTGCTGGAGATTTTGATAGCTATCCATACCTAGGACTTTTAGTACTGGATGATAATTTAATCAGAGAAATCGAGCCGGATGCACTTGGTCGACAGGAATATCTGATGAGATTATGGTTGAATGGAAATCACTTGAATCGAGTGCCTGATAATTTGCCTCCGAGTCTCCAAGCTCTTTACATGGAGGAAAATGAACTTTTAGCAATTCACAGCTATAGTTTTAAAGGCTTAGTGAATTTAGAACAATTGTTTTTACAGAGAAATAAAATAAGGGAATTGTCCTTTTGCGCTTTTTGTGATTTATTAAGTCTAAAAAGTCTGGATCTTCAGGCAAATCAAATCGAGAATCTTACAAACGGCGTTTTCGCTAATTTAACTCAACTAGAAATGTTGGATTTGTCTCAAAATAGTATAAAAATAATGGAAGCTCATTGTTTTGAAGGTCTAAGTAGTTTGAAAACGCTCCAACTCTCTCGAATGTCAACAAGCATAAAATTTGATGAATCGTTATTCGATCATCTGAAAAACCTGCAGATGCTTGAAGTGTACGATAGTTCTGATTTTGCTCTTCAAATTATCAACTCTACTCGTCTTTTGCATGGTTTACGTAATCTTAGAGAATTAAATATAATGCATAATAAGCTAATTTATCTTCGGCCAGATTTTCCTTCATTTTTTCCAAATCTCAAAGTAATTAAAATGAGTGGAAACAATTGGATCTGTGACAAACAGATACTGTGGCTTTCTCATTGGATCCAGAAATCTAACCTTCAGTTTTATAGAAGTTATAGCATAAGATGTTCCTCCCCTCCTAATCTTCAGTTCAAACCGATAATGATGTTAACTGGAGACGATGTAAACGCACCCGTCAACATCGAACAATTGACCACGTCAATAACAGAACAAACCACTATTTCAGAAATCAGTTCTACAACGTCTCCCTCCAAATTTATCGACACTTCTGCCAACACCACCCTCTATCAAAAATCGCACATCTTTTTGGAAATGACCCAACCTTCTAATATAACAGAAAGCGTAATCGGAACAGAAATCACGGAGTCAATTTCAGAAAATCCAAGCCAAAACATAACGGAATTGATAAAAATCAATCGGGATAATTCAACGCACACGACTACAGTCGAAAACAGTACAATTACTACCAGTCAAACAGAGAAAGAACTGATTTCAAATAAACACATGTCTTCGCGATTGTTAGCTAACCATATATCTCGTCCTCCATCTTCCAACCATTGGTGGGACAATGCTACAACAGTCATAGTCACGTCTTCGGTAGCATCAGCTAGTCTCGTTCTTGTGATTGGTATCGTAACATCTTTTGCATTTTATAAGTGTCGTAAATACAGAATAGGAAGCAAGCATTGTTTACTAAGAAGGAGCAGTAGTATATCATACTATCCTCAAAGAGACGAAATTTCAATAGTTACGGTCTCTGAAGGTACGGTTGGTTTACAGACTCGTACACATCATGGGCTAGGAAACAAACTTTATTATATCATGGAAAACGGTGATGTGTTTAGAGATCCTATAAAAGATGCTCTACCTGATCCTCAGCTGCAGGAACTCCTTCCCAGACCCGCAGCTTCCGACCATGAATATTTATTCAATGGTAAAAGTTTAAGTGATGTCAGCCCCAGATAACTTCGCGTTCTATGTTATCAAGAACAGTCCAAGATTTTTGCCTTCGGAGCGAATGTCCACACGAGTATAAATGGAAAACAAATAAAAATAAGATTATTTAAGATTACAAAGTATCATTTTAGAACTTTAGTATCGCTATTGTTCAAATGTGAATATTAACTCTCGGAATCGAAAAATCGTGCCATGGAAATATACATATATATATATATATATTAAAAAAAAAACAAAAATATGTGTCAATCGGTTTTTATCCTAGTGGCCTTTGTCTAGGCAAGAGTAGCCTAAACGTGCTGATTAATTCTTAGTATCACAAAAGGTATTTTTGTACTCGACCCTTCGAATAATGTCAAGTGTTTCGTGTTATTCAATATACAATCGGCTATACCTTACTATAAAGGTATCGTCAATTCTCTTCTTGTATGAACAATTGTACTATTTGTATCTGTAATAAAAAATATAGAAGACTTTGGAAAAAATTGATATCTTTTTTTAACNATTTTACTTCTGTACAAAAAATATTACATCGATTTTCTCGAATAATTAAAGAATTTGTAATAGTTTATCTTGAAAAGTATACAAAACTGTTACTACAATATTTACTTCAGCAAAATTATTTTTATGTGGCCATTTGTAAATATTAACTCGAGCTATAAAATAATTATTCTCGAGTAATTTAATTAAACAAGAATTACTTACTAGAAAATAACAATTATGCTTGATTAACATTGTTATAAAAAATTTTTATGATTGACAATGTCATATAATGCACTGGTTAGTAGTAGAAATCTTTTAAAAAAATAAGAATAATGAGTTAGCATCCAAATTATGAATGTATCTTTAGAAAAAAACTCTTATAAAAATGTATTTTTAACAACAATTTCTTGAAATTGTTTTTGAACATTAACTTTTACAAAAATTGCTTTTTATCAAAAAGCTTTTAAAAGAGTTATTTTTTGAGTAATCTCATAAAAATGATTGCTGCGAACACGAATCAAACGTAAGAATATAGATATATTTATTGAATAGGACAATACTATAGTAATAGTATTGTCCTATTCAATAAAAGTTTACTTCATTGATAAAAAGAAATCATTCTTGAACAAGTTAGTCTATAAAATATATTAATGAGTAACATATAATAATAATAAGCACGTAAAAAAATTAAAAAATCGTTACTTATAAATAACAATTTTATAAAATTTTGGTTGGAAAAATTCTCATTTCATTTCAAAATTAGAATTTATAAAAAATTTCCCTTGATTTCCCAGAAAAATATATTTATATATAAAAACTTTATATAATTGGATTCTTACTAAAAATTCTTGAAGTTAAAAAATGATAATTGTGCAAAGAATTTTTAAATAATAACTTCTTAAAAAATAATTTATGAAGAATTATTTTTAAAGAAGCACTCATAATAAATTACTTCTCATAAAAATGTAGCTTTTAAAGAAGAAAGTAATTTTTTATTAACTATTTCACGATAAACAATTATTGGAATTGTTCAAGAATGAACAAATTTGTAAATAGTATTTTTAAAAAGACCATTAGAAGAATTAAGTATCTTACATTATCATTTCTTTACAATTTACTGAACTATAAAAACTATTCTTTACATAATTTTATTTGCAAAAACAATTTAAATTTACTTATAACAATTACTATTGATCATAATTTAAAATTTAAATTAGATATTTCCTTTTAAAAAAACTCTTAAACAAGATATTTGATCAATTTTCAATTTGTGTATATTTTAAATTCCTTAATTAAATGTAATATCCAAAAGAGATTAATATCTATTGGTCAGTAGGGATTTTATTGCGAATATTATGCGGTAGCAATATAATCTCAGTCAATGACTGATCTCCTCTCTCTTAATGTATTTGTTTATACTGTATATGTATATTTGCTCTTTAATTAATGCCCAAGATAGTGTGAAACAGGCAGAAGCATATCGATTTGATTAAGATTTACAGCTTTATTGATCTTTAAGACGTAACTGTCAAGTAAAATAAACTTTCGCCTTTATTCTACTGGAATAAAAGGAGATTTCCGAGCATTCGGTTATTACCAAAACTACAATTTCCAATTATTCTAGCAAGGTAGTAAAGTTAGTGACGTCGTGCCGATGCTGTTTAGGCTATCTGTTTTCGATACGAGGCATTAAAGGATGAAGTTTGTTTTCTGTTTAAGAACGATACGGCGACAAAAATATCTTCCGGTTACATGACATTGGATTACATGAGGTTGTAACGTGACTGTAATGATTCAATTAATCATTGTTGGCTCGGTAATAGCCAACGCGATAAACACTTTTTTCTAAATTAATACTTCTTTTTTTATTTTTCTTTGTTGGGCGTGTTTTATAAATTATAAAATTAGAGATTTTACCAAGGAAAATTAAGCTCAAATAATTATTGGTTGGCGAGCAAGAAAAATTGCGTATACGATATTAAAAGTTATCGTCGATTTATAATTTCCGTGCGTGAATTTTGGTTGCGTGGCTTAATGTATGCCGTGTTGTGTCTTGATTAAAGCTAGCATTGATCCTGTTAACTAGAAAAGCGGAAGATTGATTCCTTAACCCAATTTGTCAAATAATCCACCTATATACCTGGTTGTCTTAACTATAAATGACAGATGGATAAACTGATCGATCGACGACATTCGAACAATGGAAGTCAAACAAAATTTTAAAACTTTATAACTTCAATTTATCTTATGATTTCATGGTTGTCAGGTTTAACGAATTTTTAGTTTGTAACTTATTTGTTTATATTATCTATACGAGCGTTTTCACTTAAAATTTAAAAGTTCTATTTAAAAATTTCGAGTGAGAGCTAAGAACAAAAATGGAGGGAAAAATATCAGGAAGATTTTATATCTACATAATTACAAATTGCTAACGGTATAAATATGCGCATTAATCATTTTAAGTTTCGAATAAAATTTGAAATACTAATAACATTACTCTTGAATTTTTTTTATATTCAATATAATGTCTACATTTTTCATGCTCTGACTTATTCCAAGTAGAATAACGTTTCTTTTTTCTCGGTTTAAGATATCTACTGTAAAAAATGATGATTTATTTAATAAAATCTCATCTGACTCTGCCTATGATAATGATATTCCTAAAGGAATAAGAATCATTCGATTGCATTCTTTCTTTCTCTTTTGTTCTCTTGAGAGAAATCCTGAGTTAAAGAGATTCGCTGCGTTACTGTATTTGCTTTTTTGCAGGTTGGATTTTTTCCAATTGGGCAGATTCATTCAGGCTCGTAATAACCCAAGCTATCATTGATAAGACCGAGAGTGACTTTGAGCAGAAATAACCAATAGGCTCACTTCTTGCTCTAATGACATTCGTTCATTTTGGTCCCTTGCCAAAGCTAGAGGTCGATCGCAACTTCAGTACATCTACAATGCCTTCTCCTTTCTCTCCTGATGGGTTTTATTGATTGATTCGTTGCCTAAGGATAAAGTTGATCTACTAGCCTTCTCTTCTAATGAAAAGAAAAATGGCCTCTTTTCATCAATTACCCTTTTCTCCTCTTCCATTCCTCTTATTTCATCTTTTAGATTTTTTAAATATACATTTTATGAAACTTTATCATGTTTTACTCGACATTACCAACTTCGCATTATTGTCATATCATCTAATATTACAATAACCCGTATATACATCGCAATATATGAATATGGAATTAAACTAAATTAACCAATTAAAGATCTCGAATTTCTTCGTAACTATTCAGTCAGAAATTGTTATTTTGTTTGATTTAGTATCGGAGTAAACATCTTAACAAGCGACATTACTAACTTTCTCTTTTAATGAATACGAAAACAGATTGAATTTTTCTTATCCAATCTGTTTCTCAGATCAGATAATTTTATTTTAAAAGAAATCTTTTTACACAGCAGCTTACTTTTTGACTTAAATAACGTATTCAATTTTGTTTATTTTTTTTTATTTATAAAACTGTTTCCGTATTTTTCTTCTATTTAATTATTAAATACGCGTATTGATATCCATTTTTATCAAATAAGATAATGTAATTTAATAATGTAATACAAGCTTATAAATGATTTTGTATTATTAAATTTATAATTCATTATAAAAGATCTATATTTATATTTATAGTAAAATCAATTATTATAATTTGAATATAGTTTTTTAAACTTAAAATAATGTTTTAAATCGTTTAATTGAATAAATTCTGCTTATAAAATTATATAATCTTGATAATATCAACGAAAATAATTGTTTTTATTAATATAAGAATTATACATTTACTTTAATAATCGATAAAATTCAAAATTTATTTTTAAAGAAAAAACATTAACGTTCGATTTTATTTTATTCGAAATATTTATGCGTTCTATACAGAATACGGAATATCGCTATCAATGCACTTTCACAGCAATATTTTTCTTTAACATTTTATTAGTAGTTTAATAAAGAACTATGCAATAAGGACATTTTTTTCTTTATTAAAAACAGAGGAAAAGTATCTGTTATGTTTAACTATTATAATACATAAGAAACAAATGTTGACAAAACAAAAAAGAAATGTGATGATATATTTATTTTTTAGAAATGTACACTTGTCTGATTATTCCTGCAAGGCATCCTACAAAGAATTTCTTTTTATTTATTGACGTATATACATGTATAACGGTGTCAAAAACGTCTAATGGTATTTGCAACCATACAATAGTGTCACTCTTCTATGACATAAAATGTAAATGACTGCGCCGCTATGAAAAGAAATTTCGTATTTAATTTCGCAGTTATGCAATATTGAACAGTTTTTCTTCATTTATTCATTCACTTTCCAATAAAATTTATTTTTCATTATTATTATTTTTTTGCTTTTCGCTTCTTATTTACAATTCAAAGAATGTTATTAAAAAAAAGATTGAAAAATTTCTTTTTTCTTTTAAGTTAAAACTTCTCGATAAATGAAAGTTTTATAGAAAACAATTGAAAATTGTCGCACTCAACAAAAAGGTAATTTAAACAATCGGCATTACTTTCTTTAATTCTCGTAGAGATACATTTAAATAATTTAAAATGAGATCTTTAGACGAATGTCTGCATTTTTAATTTGAATCGATTAATCTATTGTTCGTTGCTATGAAAGATTTACTCGGTGCGCATCAACTCCATTTATTTTAGACTGATAGATATTAGTTTAAGATTAGATACGAATAACGAATAACTGTAGTCATATTTTGCTGACAATATCACTTCATCTATTAACCATGTGCAGCAAGCAAGAAAAGAGACGGGAGCCGTGAACAAGCGGATAGTTTGCTATAACAGAAACTAATTTAGGTTGGTGTCGAGTCGTGGTTCATAAATTCGAGACTTGACACCACTTCCTGGAGATGAAGTTTGAAAATATAAAAACAACTTTTTGCCTGGCATCTTTCCTTTCTGTAAGCTTATATATAGTAAACAAGCCGTATATCAAGTTGCGATTTTTTCCCTTTTTACTAGCCAAATATGATAGTTTGCTCCTAATTCCATGTATATTTTTTCACTTTGAAACAAATATTTTATTATGTATAAGGCAAACTGTTTCACTCTTACGTTATCTATACAGTATGTAAATCCATAGAATAAGCGGATCAATAATAACTCTACCGTAAAGTAAATCTTCGATATTAGTTTGATGATTTTATATTTAATTTATACCTCGCGATTTATGCTAAACCAAGCATAATTAACGAAGCGATTGGAGGCACAAAGCAATTTAATCGTTTGGAGATGACTGCTTTTGAAGTTAAGATTTATATCCCTTTGCTCTTTAATGGATACTTCGACTGAGATACAAATAAACAAGCAGACATCATCATCACCAGTTGTGTAATTTATAGAAAATATCATTAAATTTTAAAATTAATGAATTAAATGTAAAAGGAAATATCCTACTGAACATGCAACATTTTTTGTTCCTATTAACTTTAAAAAACATCCAATGATTATACATACATTTCCTTTTTGTCCTCTTCAGCTAAATGCATTTTGCTTTAATAGTTTTCAAAGTTAATCTTTGAAATTTCCTATTTTACTTCACGTTTCATTTAAGAAGCGATTAAATTGCATTTTTTAAAATATTTTTATGAAATAGAAAAGATAATGTTTAAATATATGAACCAAATATAGAATGAAATGAACAAATTCAAGACTAAAAAAACATGAATAAATTAAAAATAAATTTATTGATAATTTTTTTTTTAAATTTAAATGATTTATTGTAATTGATAGTTTTCTGAATAAAAATAAAGGTTACTTGCATTATATTTATTTTTAAAATAATAAAAATTTGTTAGCGATTTTTCTAACAGGTGTGAAATTACCTTTATTGCATTTTTCGGGGTTCTTCACAGCATTTTCTAGAATTACTGGTCATCGATTGAAGATCAGGACTTCCAATCAACAAAACTTCTTTGGAAAAGGTAGTTTACTGTCTTCCCTGTTATCTGTTGCACTCAACTATGGAAAAGCTTTAGTTCTATTGAAAAGAGAACAGCTTCACATCTAATTTCTCTTCTCTCCATCTATTGAAAGCAGAAACAAAATTACATCCTACTTGTGTTATTTGTAAAAATGTAGAAACTATTTTCTAGTATTTTTATCGTGAAAATCTAGCAAAATAAATAATTTATTCAAATATTTAAATATCCTATAAACATCGATAACTTTTACCAGTTAAATATTACATAAATTTGAATATAAATTAATTTTATTACTGAAGCCTCCAGTTTAAGAATTTAATTAAAATTCAATTAACGTTACATAAATTATTCTTTATCAAAGCATTTTTAGTGAAAATCGTTATGAAATGTGATAATACAATGTAATAATAGCTTTATCATTATAGTCATCTATTCATATATCACATTACATTAGATATTATTAAACGAAGACATTTATAATTCATACAGATCTACTGAATAATTTATCTATATGAAATTTAAATAATATTTTAAATTATCTAATTGTTTTTAAATCAACATTTAAAAAAATATAAAAGTATTTCCACCTCTTAAAATGAAATAAAGAGATACTAAACATTTATTTTTTTCCATTTTCGCTCATTCGTTTTCGAAGAAAGTAACAAAAAAAAAAATACTTTAAATTTGGAAGCTGTTTAAATATATATTAAATTTTAAAAGCATAAAAGTATTTTAAACTATTCATTAATTTTTACAGAATAGTAAATGTATCAAGCACGATGCTAAATCAATACTGTAACTGAAAATTATTGATTTATAGACAAATGAAAAATTATCGGTTCTTTCCTCCGTATGATTTTTCATTTAAAGTAAATAAATTATAAAGATCATCACTAACAAATATATATTAAAAATTTAATTTTTAAGAGAAATTACTCAAGTAAATATGCAATAAAAATGTTCTTCATAAGCAAAATGATAAAGTATTTTAATCATTCTAATCATTTTGTTGTTAAAAAAAGTAGATCTTACGCTATCATTTCTTTAATATTTAAATATTTATAAACTTATGAATCAATTAAACAGAATTGAAAAAAATTCTTAAAGAAAGAGAAAAAGAAATAGATACGAGGATTAGATTTCCGAAAGAACGAAAAATAACACATATTTAAATGGCATTCTTAAACTTAAATTCTAGTAAAAATAAATTCTAGTTAAGAATTTAAAAAAGAAAAAAAAAAAAAAAACGCAATCGATAATTTTTATGCGTTTTTCTTCGGGGCCAAATCACATGTAAGATTATCTTGTCATTTCAGATTAAAACAAAGTTGCCACTTGATCACCGCCGAGTTATAAAACGCTCTTATAAATATATTTCTATTATAAATAAATAAATAAAATGGTGGTTTAATAGAGAAAATGTTCGATATTTCTTCGATTTTGGGTTTGTAGATGAGAATCTCTTTCGTGTTGAGTTGTAACAGAATTGTATCTGTAAGTGACAACCTCGGATTCTGAAAAACACTCCGAATTCAGGATGGTCCTTGTAGTTTCGCATTGACTAGAAAACGGTGTTCACAATTCCTATCTCTCCTCTAGAAGTTGTCTAGAATTCAAAAATTTGAAAAAGTCTCAACCATCTGCTATTGAATGGAAGCTACCGATTCTTAAACTAACTGTTAGTACGATGTCTACAGCTTTTCGCTTATTCTTATAGAAATTATCTAATGGTTTCTCCATCACTTTCATTATTCTTATATAATAAAGATGCATGGATACAAAAGGTAATGTCTGTATCCTTTAGACTTCCTCAAAGTTTAACAAATTCAGAACTGTCTACAAGTTTCTCGCAGAGAATGTTTACTTCTAAGACGCATTTTCATTATAAAAGGCGCTTATGGTGATAAGCATATGAATTTTAAGTATTATCGATTTGTCGATAGCTAAAATTTAATACTGATTTACATCATCGGCTATTATTTAGCTTAGACATCATTTTGTCTGAAGTACAGCAAACCTCTTCAGATAAAATGAATAATATAATTTGTCTTAGTTTGCTAGAAATTTTCCTGAAAAAAAATCTATCAATTAAAATCATCGTAATTTCATATTTATGCCGAAAGTTTATTTTAAAATTAAATAAAATATTCTAATTATCAGTAAATATAAAACAATAAATGTCGCTTTTGATGAAATTTCATTGAAAGCCAAATCTTAAAATAGTATTTTAATAATTAACAAGTTAAAGAGTAAGAAAAATATGTCGGAATATTGTTTAATTAAGTAAACGAAGTAAAATCAAATTTAAATATTTATTGAGAAAACTGACAAACACAATTCCTATTTCTGAAAAGAAAATGCTAGAAAATAAAGTTGAAAATGTCGATTTTTGTTTCTTACAAGTCTAGAGTAAACATACTGTTTTTTAAAGATATATAAAATTTTTAAGACAGAATATATTTTGAATATAAATGATTTATTATATAAAGTGAATTGACTTCTTTTAAAGTCAACCTGAATAAGTAAAGATAGCTTCAGATTATATATTTAGTTTTGCAGTATAGTCATTCGTAGGAGAAGATTAATGTGCTGCTTTCTTATAAATTTCCGTTCTATGATGAAAAATGTAAGTTTTCTTTATTCTCTAATCAACATTTTTGTTATTGGTTAATATACATAAACCTGACATTTTCCCTATTTTATCGCGGTTTTTGCCACCTCAATGATAAATTTAGCTTCAAAGTCTCCGAAAAATATGAAATGCGTTCATTTAAAAGTGCTAGAGGATAAAAATATCATTTGAGCCAATTGAACTCATTTAAAAGCAGTTTTTCAAATTATTCTTCGGAGTATCTTTATATAGTTGGCTTCGTTATAAAACACTTATCGATATTTTATAAAGCGATGAAATAGTTTTTGTAGTTTTTAATCTTTCACTTTAAAATCATATATTGTGGCCTGTAAATTTATTTTGTGGCTTTTATTATTAATTCAAACAATTATTACTGTCTTTTCTTACAATATAAAGTTTATTTAATCGCTTCTATTATTTTTCCAATAAAAAGTTTAATATTATCCTCTGTATTTTTCAATAAAATATATAAAGTTATAGTGCAACTTACAAAAGTTTCTGTTATATTCAATAAATACTATTTCTTCCATTACAAAAATATGATCTATACTGTCATATATCAATTGAAGTACTGCATTTTATTACAAAATTATTATATTAAAGATTTAGTCTAATTTATGTTTCATCAACACGTTAAAAGATAATGTGCAATTTTTACGGCATATTTCTGTTTACTACTACAAAACTATGTTAGAAAACTTAATTTATCATAAATATTTTGTCATTTTCAAAATGATTAGACTACTCATAAACTTCAAACTATTTTTATTTGATTAATTAAGAAAATTAAAGCCTAATTTAAAGCACATATTTTTTAAATTAATTTTTCTTAAACTAAAAATCTATAATAGAAATATTTAACGATTCTTGTTAAGAAAAATTTATTGATAAAATTGTAAAATCGATATAGGCCTACTTTCAAAGAACAAAAAATTTTATAAGATAAGAAATGTTGCCTAAACACTAAATCTGACGAATATTTTAAAGAATAAAACTATTTCGTTATATATAGTACGAATATTTCTTAATGTATTAGACAACGAAGCGCAAAATGCTTGTAAAAGACATTAAATCTGCCAACAAGATTAATATTCATGGACGATAATGTTACATCCAAACTATGCGAAGATAAACGTCTCTAACCTGACAAGATATGCGAAATCATGCACAAGAAAAACTTTTCTTTAGTATTATATTTAAAGAACTACAGACATATTTCTTGTCGACAACTTTTTACTTGGGTGACATTGAAAGATGTCAGAAATTCTATTGTTAGCTACGAGTATGTTGGAGTTGACAAAAGATTTTTCAACAACCTTTCAAAAGAAAACGTGCAATTCGAGTTTGGTATTTGTCGTTATATTTAAGAACTCTTTTCCTGTTTTTCCTTCAAAATATCTTAAAAGGAATGAACTGACTATACAAGAGAAACATCTAACTTTTTAAAAATTTAATAAAATGCGTTGTATTTAAAACATCTATTTCAACAATCGATAAGAGAATTTATTTTTTTTATTTGAAGTTCCTTTAAATTTCTGTATAAATATTCACGAAGTACCGAATGTAGTTTAAAATAAATGAAACTGTATTAAAAAACTTTATAAAATGTTACAATAAATAAGATACTTATCTATCAGATATAGGATGCAGATAAAGGACAATCAGAAAATCAATAGCAGTTATAAAAAATCTTTTCGTAATATATATCCGTTAAGCAGATAAGATCTCACTATTGTAAAACACGGAATAATCGATTGGATTCATTTATTATACATCCCAAAAGAGATATTTTACCTGCACACATGACAGCACATTGTCGCAATACTGTGAACATCAACGAAAAACATTTGAATGGCGAAAGAAACTTCTAAAAGAGAATTCTTTGGATAAAGTTTTAAAATGTAAAATACCTTAAAGTACGCAACGCCTGAAAGTAAAGAAGAGTCTACGTTTACACTGCAAACACTCCATAAAAAATAATCTATCCATCGATAAAGACTTTTCCTGGATGTTTACATTGTAAAAACTTATATTCTCTATATTAACGCCAGTTATTAGGATAATATTTTAAAAGATAATATTGAATTATTGCTTTAAAATGTAATAACTACTGCAGATCCATCTCTATGAATATTATAATTATCTTTATAATAAATTACATTTACATAATGATCTTTGGGAGAGTTATCAATACCGATTTATCCCAGAGATCATTATGTAAAGTATGTAGATGATATATGTAGAGTCTATATCCAGGAACTAGATATAATCTATTTTCTACGTATGTGAATCTATATATCATCTATTTATAATTTAAGAACATCTATATCTATAGTTTGATGCAAAAACAATCTATCATTATGCAAAATATTAAACGAAAGCAAAAGAATAGATATTTACCCATTTTTGAGATCAGAATATATAGTAAATCCAATATATTTTTCGAATAAATTAATAAAATTGATTAACAGTAAACCAAACTTGTATAAATATTTTTAAATATAAAAATAAAACCAATAGAACAAATTTTAATTTTCTATTACAAGCAAAAATTCTCACGTGTAAAGTTTTATCGATTGCAATAATCAACTAACCGTCCATAACAGATGAATCTTGAAAGGAGCAACTGACTAGTCTATCTAAACTTAAAGCCGAAAATAAAATTAATAAATTGATCGAACATATCGGAAGATTATATTAAAATTCCTTTAATAAAGCAACTCCTTTCATCCTAGAAGAAGAAAAATGATAAGAGACGATTTCTAATCATCAAAACATTGACTCTTGATTAATGTCCAAGAGCATATACAATAAAATGCATAATAGGCCATAATTTAATTAACAACGGCTTCTTCATCCATTTATCGATTCATTCCTCTAGATAAACTTTGTTCCTTAAGTTATTAGTTATATTATGAATCGAAACTATTTGCGTTTTTCATACATTATATTCCCGAGAATCGTCTCTGTAAAGAAACCATGCAATTTTTTCCCCTATTAAATTCGTGTTTTAATACCGTTAACTTTTGAAATTAAAGCAAATGATATCTAGGTCGTTCAACCCTCAGCAGGAGAAACTATTCTCATTTATGAAACAGCCAAAAATAAAGCAGACTTCTTATTATTCATGGTGTGATGTAAGTCCACTCTTGTGCTTTTCTTCTAATCCTAGAATGGCTTTCCACCACAGGAAGTTTCCCTGAGTCATATCAATGATCTTATATTAGCTAGAAAAATCAATTATACCTCGTGATTTTTTCAACTTGTTTTATATTAAAGAAAGAATCTTTTTTTAAAAAACAGAATAAAAATTCAATCAGAACTATATGAAAATATTGAAACTTTTAAAAGAAATATTTGATTTGGATTTATTTATTTATTTATTTTTAAACTTTTAAAGAATCACAAGATTCACTCAAAGTAATAAATAAATTTAATTTTACGAATCCCGATAAGTTCTAAAAGATAAATTTTTCAAAATTAGTTTTACAAAACATATTAAAAACAGAAAGAAAATTACTATATGATGACGGAACATAAATCAGAAAATTTAATTTTCGGATAAGAAAGTTAAAATTGCTTCTATCTCTATCTGAACGAAGAAATATTGATAAAGAAACGAATTTCTAATGAAATACTTTTATAGAATAAAAATATGTACAAATAATAAAGTTTAAGTTTTTAAATATAGAATTATAAATTTAATTAAATAATAAGAAAATTATTCTGTTATATCATTGAATGCTAGATGAAGAGAGAGAGAGAGAGAGAGAGATCAGTAGGATCGATAAACGTTATTCTAAAAAAATACTTCAATTTTATTGAACTGATATACAGTTCAAGTGTAATAATCAATTTTAATAGTAATTTAAGCGACATATTCTAGTTTACCTTCTAATTTTAACAAATTTAGCTAGAAGCAACCATAAAAACTCTCGATTTTCCCCTTTTGTTTTCTTTTCTGCATCAATAAGAAGAAGCGGCGTTTCTTTTTTTAAAAAATAAAATTTTTAATTAAAAAAAATGTTAAAACAACATTGTCGAAATTGATTTAAATGGGATTATTTTAACAGGATAAATTACTTTTAAGTTATTAAATTAACTAAATGAATATTTGATAAGCTTATTATAATTTTATAGTTCAGATTTGATTATTAAAATGCTTTTTAAGAAACTTATTGATGATAAGCTTTTAACTGAAATTCAATTGTAGTAATAAACTTTCACGAAATAACCATTTCAATAAAAGTGGTTAATGCATTCTAATTACCATTTTCAGAGGAAACAAAATTTTTTTTACAATAATAAAGTATTGAGATAAGCTTCCAATGAAATTTATTTGTTGTAATTAAGTTTCCTTTTTTTGCAATATAATTTTAATTTTAATAATTCATCAATTTTTGCCGGAGAATCATGCACTAAAAGGATAATTTCATAAAAATGTTTTTTGGAAAAAATCATATTCCAATAAAATTTACTGTAGTAAATAAATTCCATTAGCAACTTATTTCAATATTTTATTGCTGAAATTAAATTTCTATAATAATTTTTCCGGGTAATGAAATTTTGTTTAAATTTTATTAATTATCATTATTAGAAATTGCATTATAAGAATACCATAAATCAAGAAAACTTGATTAACTAACTTATGCGAACGTTTTTCACACAGTTAATAAAATTTCATTAGCTTCTAAGATAAAAATGTATTTAAAATTAAATAATATTAGTTATAACATGCGTATAAGTTTGCATTAAAAACACCTTTAAAAGTTAAATTTATTTAAAAAAAAAAAAAAAACATACCTTTGGTTAAATTACCACAGTTAAGCCTTGACAAAATACAATTTTTCTTTATTGAAAAACTTAATTAATTTCTATTATTATTAAAATTCATCTACAGAATAAGTTATAATGATGATGTTGAATTTTTATTTATAACAGTAAACTAATTAAACTAAACAATAACCATTGTTAATTCTAAATTTCAGCTGCACTTTCCTTTTATATCATCAGTTTTGTTAATAGTAAAACATATTTTAAGATAAACAACTAAATTTTAACCATAAATTAATCTTACCTTACGATAATCACAAAATATTAAAGAAAAGATTTATAAATTTCTTAATTAAATATAGAATGAGGAGAAAATTACCGTACACAAAGTTTAATTTATAAATACTTTATCATCTTAACTTTCGTACTTAATTTAAAATAAAATTAAATATTTAAATAGCCATCTAAACAGGATACGCGATAGCTTGAGTTTTCATTTTCTTAAGAGAAGTATAAAACGATTTTTTTCCCGTTTAAAATCAAAAATTATATTTATCTTGATGGATTATAATTTTTATCGAAAATCACTCTGGAAGAGTTTGAAATTCTTCACATCATCCGAAAAGATGCTATAAGTTTTCTTACCAAGCAACAAGAGTTACTTTCGGAGTAGGAAATGTAAAATTAATATCCTGCAAAAGAGGCGTATAGCATGCGCTAGATAGATTTTATTACCCTTCTACTCTTATCGTTATCAACCAGGTGACGTTATCTTTTAATATTCCGGGAGTAAATGAAGATTAACACGACCAGGGAACAAACAACTAATGCTACAACTCAGGATCCCACTGGATAATTGCTATTTATAGTTAATCTCCGTTAATCCATTGTAAAATCTTTATGGCACGACTCCTTTAATTGTTTCAAATTCATTAATATCTCTATAAGCTCGATTCTTCCATTAAAAATATTTAGTTGCGATAAACCGAGTCAAAAGTTTCAATATTCTCCCAATATTTCAAAGCCAATATGAACTAACAGCAGCTTAATATTATTTTTTTCAAAATGAATCAGAGAATGACAATTATTCTCATGTTCTAGAAATTTATTTTTTAATAAATTAAATTTAGCATCAATCATATATTTTTCTTCTTACGACCGTTATAAAGGAGAAAACATTTCAAAAGAGTAAGTATCTTGCCAAATGTCAACGAATATTGAAATTCATGATTGATTTAACTAGATTTCTCGTTTTCTTTCCAGTAATATCTTTCACCGAGCTTCGAATACATTATCTATGTTTTACATGAATCTCAAAAGATTGTAGCTAGAAATCTGTACATTTTCAATAATATAAAATACATCTTACCAAATAAGTTCAATTTGTAACCGTCACGAAGACAAAATTGTACAAGAAAAACTATCAAATTTATATTTTGACCTTATATAATAAGTGATTATTCAATAACTTACAGCAGAAAAGATAAGAATCGACTAAAGTTTTTCAGTTTCCAACATTTACGAAATGGAAAAAAATGTGAAGGCGGAACATTTCAATCTAGTGTTGACGGTGTTTTTATCTAGAAGACGAATTACATGCCATAAGAGAGTTATCCACTAGTAATGATAATGGTGGCAGAAGATATAAATGTGACGCTTTCATTCTGTTGATGGGAGTTTGAGAGAACATTAATACTCAAGATACTACAGTTCAATATAGAAAAGACCATTTTCAAATCGTTTTTGTTTGCATAATAAATGGCAATCTTAAAAGTCTGAAAGATAATTATGGAAAAAGTAAAGTATATACGATGATAACCTTGAGACCTTTTTATTTATAATTCATTAAAATTAGTAAAATTAGACAGAATAATATATGCAAACAGCACAGATGTTAAAACTATAATTGTTAAAACATAATTTCGAACAATTAAATAAAATGTCATATGACCAACAAAGTTATTGGTCATAAAGAATCGAACATTGTTATTGATTTCATTAAGTAGCAATAGTTAATTTACTAGAACGTTTATTTGGTAGTAATAAAAAAAACATAAATTAAAAACGATCAAATTTACCATTTATACTAAATAATAATAATAATAATAATAATAATAAACTTGTTAATTACATTAATTTTTTACAAATTAAAATTTAATGAGTTTAATTATTTTTTCAAATAATCATCTCATCCGAAATTCTCGAGAGCTTGAGACTATTTGAATAAAACATTAATAAAAAAAACTTATTTCTAGAAACAGAATCTACTAAATGTGTTCTTAGCGTTAAAATTTGTTTTTACTTACATCTCTCAGCCAATAATCAAAGCCAAGTTTACACATATTACCAAAATTACTTTCGATGTGTTGGGCAGTTTATTGATGAAATTCCTCTGTTACTGATAAGCATTACTATCAGGTGATAAAGTCAATCTGGAGATAGCTACGTTTTCTATCAAGATAATCGACTAAGTACAACTTACTTTCCAATTGAGGCTCACTTACCTCTACTCCAGATTTTTCACCTTTTTTGATAAAATTATTATTAAAAAATTAAACTGATACTTGTAACATAAAATTTATAATCATATAAACAGTTTTTTCTTGATAGCACACATTTGATGCTTTTCAGTTTTTAAAAATAATAAAGATTAAATTCTATATTTAAAGTAAAAAATAATGTATTAATAGACATTTTTATTATTGAAATAATTTTGTTAAGACTAGGTAGTTATATAACATTCTTCTCTACATCTTATCAAATAAACTGTGCTGCCATCTGTTAGTATATATAGATGTCAGGATATAGGTTTATTTTTTGAGAAGTTGTCATTGAGTCATTATTCAATTTTTCATATGAATATTCCAATGCGAAAAACGTATGCTTACATTAAAAAAAGTTTTCATAAATTTTATTATTATTACGTCTTTTTATCATCAGAATTCATTTGTCATCTATACGATTTAAAATAAATATGAACTAAATAAATTTCCTTCTTCCAAATAGTATGTTATTTTGTATGCAAGTGATCCAACTGCATTTAAATTTTATGCAAGTTTCGTAACTCAATCAACAAAAAATATAATTCGTTTTTCTGTATTGCATCATCTTTTATTTTTATTCTCATTTTCATATTTTTAGAAAGCCCATATTTATTATCAATCTTAACAATACGAAAATGGATTATAGTTTACATAAATATACACGTAAATAATTATAATCCAATTTCTCATGCCAGTAATTTTGCGATACTGTATAATATTAATAAACTAAGCTAAACTTACTGTTCAAATTAACCATGTTTTTCCTCTTCTCTTATTAAAATTTACTACATAAAATTATATTAGTCTTCAAATCTACGAAATATTATGGTGACTCAAACATTTTACTCTAAATAAACAATTATTTGAAGAAATATATTTATTAACCCTTGATTCAGCTTGTTCCTAAATGAAGATAATGTTTGTATTAGAGTTCCAATTTAATTAATTTAAACTAATATAAGATAGGTCCATCTAATAAAAGTCTCTGACAATTTTTACTATTCTACCAAATATTTAAAATTGAGAACTTTAAATATTTGGAAATAAAGAGTTATTTTTCATTTTTTAAATAATCATTTGTAATTTAATAAATCAAATATTAGTAAATTATTTTTAAATTATAAAACTTTACTAAACAGATGATCTGTAAAGATAAGGATAAATTTCTCAACAATAAACTAGGAAAATTTTTGTATTCAAACTAAATATGATTTAGTTTTATCATCTTTTTATTAAAATGTTATCTATAGTAGTTTTATACTGAAGATGTCAAAAATATTCCTGAATATTTTTGATAGCTTCAGTTTAAAACTATACTATTAGAATACATTAAATATATTTGGCAAAATGGTGACTGTAATGTAAATTTCCATTAATTAAATGTGTCTGTTATGCAATGTTTTAATATTCATTAAAAAATCTTAATAAAATGAAATCGCTTTAAATAACTAAACTATTTTAACCTTGTAATTGACCATATTTATATTGAAACATATTTTAAATTGCTTGTAATAGTATGTTAATGGTTTTGAAAGTATTAAAAAAATTAAAATTTTTGAAAGTATGTTTGGTAAATATTCTAAAAGGATACTAGAAAAGATCATTTGGTCTGTATAAACTTTTAATAGTTTTAACTTTTGATTATATTTTTAAATAGTATTCCTTTTTTTCTTACAAATTTAAAATTTTGTTTAAATAATTATGGTTGTTAGAATAAAATTTAAAACATATTGCATATTCTTGATATGTTATTTATCAAAATTTTACTGTGTTATATTAATTTATAAATTATTTCTTGATGCTCTAATGATCATCAATTATTACTTTAAAAAGGTTTTTATTTTTTTCTAAATAATGTTTGTGGATATCAGCTTTTAGTTATGTGGAAAAAAGTTAAATTTTTAGCAATTTTTTAGTAATTTAATGTTGTGAAAATACTTTGATTTCTTTAGAATATGCTTGCAAGAATAATTTGTAGATCTTATTTTCAGTATGGCAGAGTAAGGAATACTAAACAACGTTTATTGATCATTATTAATTGTATTTCAAATTAATGCAAAATATTTTGCTTTTGCAAGATACAATATTAAGTTTCAGTAAAATTTTCAATTTAATTCCAGTATTTCCCATATACTGTACTAACAAAACTTTTAACATGCAAACAAAGACACTCACACAATGGGTTTGAAGTGCATAAGGTTTTAATCTCTGAAGGAGCATCTGGCTAAAAATGGGTGCACAAAGCACATCCACACACAACGTCAACAACCGAATCCATTTAAGGGAAATAAACTACATTGAGCATAGACGCATCACCCTATGCTTATGCATTATAAAAACAGAAACAACTGCACTCGATGAGTAGTCAACTTTTACACTCTTCATCTGGCAAAACTAACTCAGCTAAGCGATAACAGGTGTGTCCAATGATTTGTGTTTCTCCACTGTCAATTATTGTCATATCCCTCAAGGATGATATCTGCTCATGGATACTTCAAAAGATCCAATAAGCAGTTGAGAAATCTGTCAACAGCACCAGTCTTTGTGGTGCTTACATGATGAGTATACAGACAAAAATGAGGGATTTTTTTATACACATGATTGGCCCATAAACTACAAGCTTCAACGCCAACAGACATTCTTAAAACTTCCAAATAAACAAAAACAATTGCAGGTGCATAACTGAGAAGTGTTTTTGCTGGATTTATGATAACCACCAGGCCAATGATATTTCTTCATAATAATCTAATGAAAAGTGAGGCACACAGAAAGTGTTACTCAGAACATCAGTCAACAAGTCATCACCATGGCTATAACAAGTAGTTGTCGCTAAATACATGTACAGATTCACAGATTTGTTATCTTAGTCTCCGATATTTAGGTCCCCGAGATTTCCCTGCTCGGCTATTAGTAATAGGTGGGGAATGGGAAGCAACTGAAGAACCCTTCACTAAAGTTGTTGTCTGTCTATCTAATTCAAGCATTGCTTCTTGGATAGCATTTTCCAAATGTGTATTCATTTTACGTCCTCTGTAAAATTAAAAATCTTGATTAATCATTTCTATTAAAATAATTACCAAAACTCACACATTGCACGTTTGGCTCTGCAAACAACAAAATTTCGTTTGTAGAAGGCACTTATGCCATACAAAGACCACAGCAATGCAAGCGATGCTGCTTAATGTGGCCTCCGTTCTAGCGGTATATGTGTGAAGACAATAGACAGTGTTTAAGAGGCGATAAAAATTGATGATCTGTGTTGGTTCTCATGCGATATGACATTGTCTTTCAAGGCTGAAAAATTTGCGAAAATTACTTGACAAATCACACTTTAAAATATCCCTGCAAATATAATTGTTTTTTATTGTATGCAGCTCAAAAATACCATAGTGGCGAATTTCTGTACTAACTTTTACGGAAATGTCTTTGGCATATTATGAAATTTCACCATATCAAAATATATAGGTGTACTTTAATCATAATAATTTGGTACTTTATTGATTTCTAGAAAAATTGTGAATTATTGTAATTAAACTAATCAATCTTTCAGAATTATTAAATCAATTTTTCCTCTCATAGTTTTTTTTAAAATTATTATCTCGTGATAAATATGATTGATATAATTTCATAGACTATACGTATTAGAAGCTCCAATAAAGATACAAAATGTAATATCAAAATTATACTTTTATAATTAATAACATAAATTAATATGAGTATTTGTGTATGCAATAACATAAATTAATATGAATATTTCTTAAATTATATTTAAACGTGTGGAAATACATCTAAATATAATTTACAAAAATACATGTGAAAAAATAATGTGAATATTAAAACAAACCAGTAAAACTCCTCCAAAAACTAAAACAGTCTTTATAATATGTACTTTTTTACACATATCAGAGTGACATGATGCAGCTGACCTTTACTTTGAGGCGCTTCTCNCTTCAGATATACTGATAATATATTCTAATAATACTAATATATTATAAAAATAGCATATTGTCATTGGCAACGGCAAAAGAGTGGAAACATCATTTGCACTTGTTCGTAGAAAGTCCATTGGTCGCCTCACGTAACTGCCGAACGGAAAGTCCGTTGCTCGAGTCACATAACAGCCAAACAGAAAGTTCGTTATTCGCAGCGTCCATTATACGAGGCACCACTGTATTTGAAAGAATAAACAAAATGCAAAATGAAATTTAAATGAGTCAAAGCAATACTGACAACATTTTGTTAACAATTATTGATATTCACTTCATTTATTTTAGAAAAATTTATTAATCAATTTATAAAAAAAAGGAAGATTAAATATCTGAAGCATTTTCACACAATTATAATCTGTCGTTCTATGATAATCTCATAATTAATAACAAGTAACTCAAATTGATAAATTACACTTAAATAATATATATAAAATGATAGTTATTATATAATAACATAAAAAATTTACTTAAAAAATATGAAAACTGATACTTAGGATTCTAACAGAAAAACTAGAAAGGAATTTATTCGTAATACACAGTATTTTTTAATCAATATCTGTTGAAATTTGAATATCTGTTAAGGTAATTCATATTAAACGGTTTACAAATATTTTTCATAAAAACAAAAACTTTAATAAATAGTTTCAGAAAATAATATGAGAGTGATCTTTTAGTTTGTACAATAATACAGTGAAACCTAGGTTTAGGAAACAAAAAGTCTGCCCCTTACATAATAATAAGACTATTGATGTATTTTTATCTTAAGTGAACACTACCGTTCTGAAGACAATAGAAAAAAAATATCCTCGTATCCTTCCTATTCTTCAAACCCCTATTAAATGGACAATACAATGAATTATATGCTTTCTGTGAATAACATTTTAAGAAATCTTTGGTGCAATTGCTTTTTAAGATTTTTTTATGGCCTTAAACCTGTCAAATGAAGTTTTCACAATTCCATATTTAGACAGTACTCTGACACTTCACATCACTTTTGTAGATTAATCCCAATATTTCTACATTGCATCTGGAAGGAAGGCATTAAGAAACAATCAAATTTAGGAGAAAAAGAAAAACAGAAGCAGAATGAATCAAATAAATTGTATGATGTGAAAATTGGCAGAAATTCTGCAGGGAAATTCTCAATAACATAATTCATAAAAAACTGAGATAAGACTAGTTGGAAGATTGAATTATGCAAGTTTATTGATTGGGTGACTTATGAAAACCATCAACTAATATACAAATAACAGTCAATTTAAATATTTTTTCCTTTATCATTATAGTACAATATACAATATCAATGCCAAATGTCCAGATTGCTGAGTTAATCTGTTGTCTTTGTTCATATTAGTCACTATTCACTGTCTGTTTCAATCAATTTGACTTCAACATAATAAAATATTAAAAATACTAAACATAAAAAGATTAATTTTATAGTGTTTGAGTATCTTATTATATTCACTGGCTTCAACACTTATATAAAACTAGGAGAAATAAGAATCTGTTAATTCTTATCATCATAAACATTGTAAACCTGTCTTTTTCTCAATTATTTGAGACAATGAGAAATGCAAATATCTTTGAAGTTAAAAATCTAATCAATCAGTTTTTGGATCCAAATAAAATTTTCAATTATTAATAATTTTTTTCCTATAATATCTTTTGAATGACATTGCAAAGTCACACCATTCCCTTTGAAGCAATAGCAAAAAATACATGTATTGAAAAATATCTTTATATGCAATACATATTTAAATTTAATGAAAATATTGTCCATTTTCATTTTTCAAAACTTTCTTTTAATAATACAATTTTAAAAAATCCAGCAACAAACTGTGTAACTTTCCTGACTGTTAAAAAAATGACTTTTACAGAATATACTATAATAATATATCTTATTTAATTATAATATATAAGATTGTATGTGGTGCCATTTGTTATCAGATTTTATTATAAAATGATATTTATTATATCAGATTTTATTATATAATTATTATAAAATGGCAAAAACCTTAATTTTGAGGATAGAGATGAGTTTCATAAAAAAATATAAATGTTAATAATGAATAAAATCTTCATTAAGTCCCCTTGAAATATGACATGACACCCCTATATCTTACCACCCGTTCTACCTTTCACAACCAAACTTTAATAGCATCAATGCCCCTCACATACAAACCACAACACCAAATTTTGTTTCTTAATTACCCCATCCTGAGATTTTAAACAAAATAGACACCAATATACACATATACAGATTTTTTTTTTTTTTACTTTTTTGGGCTCAGGAGGTCTCAGAACATGGAGATTTGCAAAAAATTTAGAGGGTCAAATTTGACATGATTCCAATATTTTCTCTTGTTATGTACACATAACAGCAGGAAAACTAACAAAATTGAAAAAATTACTACCATCAATAATTCAAAAATTTTTATATCAGATTAAAAGTCATTATTTATACAGCACAACATTTATAAATTTTTAACTGTATCATCAGTTCTAATATTTCTACTACTGATATATTATTTTTAAATTATTATAAATGATGATATTAATTGGAGAGAATCAGAAAATAAAATTACATAACTGAAGATTTTATTAGTAATAAGTCAAAAATTTTAAGAAAATTTCAAAAGATGAATGAGGATATAAGCTGCACAGAATATTTCATAATTATGTTTTCAGTGAAAGAACTGTATGAACAGTTTAAGAACATATTGTTCTTAAATAAATAAATATAAGTGTGTGTTTGTATTATATAAATTACTTCAAATTCTTAAATACAAATGAAACACCTAAACCAGTATATTACCTAAAATTAGCAGTTTTACATGCTTTTGTTTGTTATAAAGAGACATCTTAAAGAGGCATATAAAACATAGAAGTTTTGTCTGTGTTTAAGTAATGTATTTCAGTATTGGAAAGTAATTAATTTACTTCAAATTCTTTTAACGCCATTAAATTGAAAATTTTCAAATGAAATTCAAGATATATCATTCAACTACAAACTCTTTTGTGCATCATATCTGCTTCCAATTTCTTTTTTATGCTTATACACAACTCTGTTAATTATTCTAAAAAAATTACTTTCGTTTTTATCAGAACATTTCTGTTTAGGAATGACATAATGAAAATGAACTAAAAAATGAAAATATACAACTGGTAGTATGAAGAGATAACATCTATTGTTTAAATAACTTATTTTTCATTATGCATATAAATGAATTCAAGATACTGAATTGAAAATAGCAGAAATAATAAAATGTTTCATTAAATTGTCACAATATAACAAACAACCAATCTATAGGTTTTGGTTTAGTAATTTAATTTTTACTATTTGCACATATGGTACAGTATACTGTTGTTTTGTGCAATATACAGACTGAAACAACCTACAACCTTGAGATTTTGTCAACAACTTTTTCATAACATTTAAAGAACAATATATTTAAAACCATGCATTATTTTTCTTCAATTTTTAAAATGTTCAACAATGTCATTTAAGATCAGTTAAGTTCATGTATGACCTTTTGAACTTAGAAATTGCTAGCAATATCATGAGAATCTTATATTTGTTTCATTTTTGTTTTTTAAAGTTTGGAGCTGAAGCTAGGCCCTAGATATAAAAATGTTTCTCAAATAAAAAAAAATTTAGTTTCCTTAAAAACAGCCATCTTTATTGCACTTATACTAACACTTCTCTTTTTTTTATATTAAGTGAAATGAATTTGTAAATTTTTATGTGAGTGAGTTTTTATATATACTTCTAAAAATAAATATTTTATCTTAATGAATATATTCTTTTCCTATCAATCAGCTAAACCTTAAATTATACAATTTTTAAAGTAATATACAATTGTTTTATTTTATTTTATAAATAATAATTATTATTTATATTGTCATTGTTGTTATTAACAAGTCTTTTCTGTATTTAACAACTAAAAAAAATAAAATATACATATAATTATCTCTAAACATGCTGAATAATCAATATTTGTTTATTTTCAATAAATTAATCATTCTAAAAATTCATATAAC